TTTTCTCATACATGTACATATAATACCGTATGGCTGGTAATTTTTTTGGGTCCTATATTTTGCGAAATCTACTAACAATCCAATTCGCGGATTTCATTTTCGTGAATTCTACCACGTGAACCATGCAGGTACCGTATTAAATTAATTTTCATGAATCAATAAGGAATCCGCAAAATTCATGAACTTTGCAACTCCTGAAAATTACCGGCTATACAGTAATGTTTGTCTTTAAATTATAAATACCGAAACTTAAATGGAATTAAAAAGTTGTAGCACTTGTGCTGCTTTTAAATTCACTGTTTTTCAATTATGCATTGAACTTCAAATATTTTTTAAATATTTGTGCATATCTTTTGATTCTTTAGGAACTAACTTGTTCTAGTAATTAGGTAATTTTATCTCCCTTCTCTCATTCCAGACTCGGTTGCAATGGAAGTTGATGTTCTCGTTTTTCTGGTGTAAGGCAGCTTAAGTGAAGCATGGATTTCAACAAATAAGCGAGTAGGAAACTTGCCATTATTGATTCTACCAGATAGCACTGCTATTTTTCCATTACTGAATGCAGTTTTGTTTTTATTGATAATTCTATTTATTGTAGCTTTTGCGAGCAAGTGACAACATTAATGTTTTGCTATAAATATAATATTGCATGAATGAATATTATTACAGTCTCCATGAATATGATTACTTTGTTATGAATTAAAGTTTATGATAATTTAGTCTCACATGATTAGGTGAGAAACAGGAAGGGAATACGCCAACTTTGCACACGATGAATTATGTTCTGAAAGAGTGAAGGTGTTGATAAAACTTTGTAAATATAGATGGCAAAAAGCATCTGTTGAACCTAAATTATGACTAAAATTATTATTATAGGCATATAAAATAATATCTTATGTTTGATGTAATACACAATAGTCTCTAGAGCTTTTGTTTCATCCCCTTTTGACTTCACAAAATAAATGTGTGATTTGACCTACTTGGTGGTAGAAGTATTCACCTGGAGCTCATCCAACTGACAACTTGGCTGTAAATGAAGTGAAACTCCTCACTATCAGTCTTCATTGCTAATGGCCATGCTTATTCACGTGTGTAGATTATTCATTGTATGCTCTATGAGTCATATCCGGCGTCAAGAGCATATGGCACATCAATATCACTTCCTGTTTGTTATCAATGTATCTATAATGCAATTAATTTGAGTAGGTGCGGCTATAAGACTGTTGACTGTTCACTTTAACTGTGTATCGCTGTTTTATCAAGTTACTTTTGTTGGACCTTGTTTAATAATTGAGGTAAAATTGAATGTTTCTAACAAAGATGTATGATGTATCTATAGAAGATGCCAAAGACACGAGCTAAGACAAGAAAAGTTGACAGGAGGACCCTAAGAAAAGAAAGATTTCATCATTTGGGAAAGAAAAGTTGGGAAAAGGTATGATTTCATGTAACTCTGTGTGTTAGTTAAGCATAGCTAGTGGATGGGAAGGGTCTATAGAAGAGTTGCAGGGGAAGTACATGTAATTAAGGAGAGCAGTACCTTTTCCTATACGCCTATGGCGTGGGTGAGGGCAATAACTAGAGTTGTGACTCATTGTCAATCATCTTAAGTGGAATTGAAGAAAAAGTCTTGTTATGAGATGAAGTAGTACTATTAATAGCAAGCCAAACATTATTGCGTGACTCCTGAATGGATAGAACTTGTAGCATCACTTCACTTGTTGCTACAGCTAAGTATTCGGTTGTTTTATACTTGTATATCTAATTGCAATCAGCTGTTTTGCAAATGTTTTTGAAGCTTTTGTGTAACTTGGGGTATGTCTGTTTTTTACGATCGGTAGAGTATGTCATTAAATTTAAAAACCATGATTATAGAGGGAGGAAATAGTGTTCAAATGCACTATTTCCTTCCTACATAATGGTGTCACTAGGCACAATTATACACATATACAATTTGACCTATCTATGTAGGCAGAAATTAGTACCAAGCACTATTTTGTCCCTACAATACTATAGGGAAGAATTAGTGCCTGCTGCACTATTTTGTTCCTACAATACTTAAGGGAAGAATTAATGCTTGCTACGCTATTTTGTCTCTATAATACTATGGGGAAGAATTTGTGCCCTATGCACTTTTTTTCATATTGTAACAGCACTTTGTTTCCCTCATATACTGTAGTGGAAAATTTTGGAGGGAATTGAAGTTGGTGAACTTGGCATTTTGATAGCAAAACTCCAAAATAAAATCCACCATTTCAAGCCATAATGTCCATGCTCAATTGTATGTGACCACAAATTTGCCAATTACCAAAATATAGTAATTTGCCGAATTCAACTCCCTCCAAAATTTCCTGCTATATGGGATACCTACGCAACATTTATCTGGTCACCTTTAGCATTCCACCATGCATTTTGCAAGTATAATTAGCTACATAGACCAATACAGTAACTTTGAACATTAAATAACATACATTTGTTAACTTGTTGGTAATAATCAATGTAGTTGGGTAACAAATTCTGATACATTGCATCTTGATTTTCATGTCATAGATGGGAATGGCATGTAAAATATGTTTTTGAGACATTCAATCGTGTTGTCTCATGTGTGACTGATCGAATATATTGTTAGCAGGATCATTTCCATAAAGAGTAGATACTGCGTATGCTACTGCAAAGCAGGCACAATCCTTATCACCTTTTGCTTCACCAATCACGGTACTTTTACCATAGCAGATCCATGGGCAATGAGCTGCTTCTTTAACTCTGAGTGAATGATCTCTGTGTAGAAGGAGTCATATAGAAAAGCAATGCCATCCATAAAATGACTAGTAACCCAATGGTCCCC